TTGTTTGCCTGACCGCTTTCATCTTTGTTTGCCTTACCGCTTTCATCTTTGTTTGCCTTACCGCTTTCATCTTTGTTTGCCTTACCGCTTTCATCTTTGTTTGCCTTACCGCTTTCATCTTTGTTTGCCTGACCGCTTTCATCTTTGTTTGCCTTACCGCTTTCATCTTTGTTTGCCTTACCGCTTTCATCTTTGTTTGCCTGACCGCTTTCATCTTTGTTTGCCTTACCGCTTTCATCTTTGTTTGCCTGACCGCTTTCATCTTTGTTTGCCTTACCGCTTTCATCTTTGTTTGCCTTACCGCTTTCATCTTTGTTTGCCTTACCGCTTTCATCTTTGTTTGCCTTACCGCTTTCATCTTTGTTTGCCTTACCGCTTTCATCTTTGTTTGCCTTACCGCTTTCATCTTTGTTTGCCTGACCGCTTTCATCTTTGTTTGCCTTACCGCTTTCATCTTTGTTTGCCTGACCGCTTTCATCTTTGTTTGCCTTACCGCTTTCATCTTTGTTTGCCTTACCGCTTTCATCTTTGTTTGCCTGACCGCTTTCATCTTTGTTTGCCTTACCGCTTTCATCTTTGTTTGCCTGACCGCTTTCATCTTTGTTTGCCTTACCGCTTTCATCTTTGTTTGCCTGACCGCTTTCATCTTTGTTTGCCTTACCGCTTTCATCTTTGTTTGCCTTACCGCTTTCATCTTTGTTTGCCTGACCGCTTTCATCTTTGTTTGCCTGACCGCTTTCATCTTTGTTTGCCTTACCGCTTTCATCTTTGTTTGCCTGACCGCTTTCATCTTTGTTTGCCTTACCGCTTTCATCTTTGTTTGCCTTACCGCTTTCATCTTTGTTTGCCTGACCGCTTTCATCTTTGTTTGCCTGACCGCTTTCATCTTTGTTTGCCTTACCGCTTTCATCTTTGTTTGCCTGACCGCTTTCATCTTTGTTTGCCTTACCGCTTTCATCTTTGTTTGCCTTACCGCTTTCATCTTTGTTTGCCTGACCGCTTTCATCTTTGTTTGCCTGACCGCTTTCATCTTTGTTTGCCTTACCGCTTTCATCTTTGTTTGCCTGACCGCTTTCATCTTTGTTTGCCTTACCGCTTTCATCTTTGTTTGCCTGACCGCTTTCATCTTTGTTTGCCTTACCGCTTTCATCTTTGTTTGCCTTACCGCTTTCATCTTTGTTTGCCTTACCGCTTTCATCTTTGTTTGCCTGACCGCTTTCATCTTTGTTTGCCTGACCGCTTTCATCTTTGTTTGCCTTACCGCTTTCATCTTTGTTTGCCTGACCGCTTTCATCTTTGTTTGCCTTACCGCTTTCATCTTTGTTTGCCTTACCGCTTTCATCTTTGTTTGCCTGACCGCTTTCATCTTTGTTTGCCTGACCGCTTTCATCTTTGTTTGCCTGACCGCTTTCATCTTTGTTTGCCTTACCGCTTTCATCTTTGTTTGCCTTACCGCTTTCATCTTTGTTTGCCTGACCGCTTTCATCTTTGTTTGCCTTACCGCTTTCATCTTTGTTTGCCTTACCGCTTTCATCTTTGTTTGCCTGACCGCTTTCATCTTTGTTTGCCTGACCGCTTTCATCTTTGTTTGCCTTACCGCTTTCATCTTTGTTTGCCTTACCGCTTTCATCTTTGTTTGCCTGACCGCTTTCATCTTTGTTTGCCTTACCGCTTTCATCTTTGTTTGCCTTACCGCTTTCATCTTTGTTTGCCTGACCGCTTTCATCTTTGTTTGCCTGACCGCTTTCATCTTTGTTTGCCTTACCGCTTTCATCTTTGTTTGCCTTACCGCTTTCATCTTTGTTTGCCTGACCGCTTTCATCTTTGTTTGCCTTACCGCTTTCATCTTTGTTTGCCTGACCGCTTTCATCTTTGTTTGCCTTACCGCTTTCATCTTTGTTTGCCTGACCGCTTTCATCTTTGTTTGCCTTACCGCTTTCATCTTTGTTTGCCTTACCGCTTTCATCTTTGTTTGCCTGACCGCTTTCATCTTTGTTTGCCTTACCGCTTTCATCTTTGTTTGCCTGACCGCTTTCATCTTTGTTTGCCTTACCGCTTTCATCTTTGTTTGCCTTACCGCTTTCATCTTTGTTTGCCTGACCGCTTTCATCTTTGTTTGCCTTACCGCTTTCATCTTTGTTTGCCTGACCGCTTTCATCTTTGTTTGCCTTACCGCTTTCATCTTTGTTTGCCTTACCGCTTTCATCTTTGTTTGCCTTACCGCTTTCATCTTTGTTTGCCTGACCGCTTTCATCTTTGTTTGCCTGACCGCTTTCATCTTTGTTTGCCTGACCGCTTTCATCTTTGTTTGCCTTACCGCTTTCATCTTTGTTTGCCTTACCGCTTTCATCTTTGTTTGCCTGACCGCTTTCATCTTTGTTTGCCTTACCGCTTTCATCTTTGTTTGCCTGACCGCTTTCATCTTTGTTTGCCTTACCGCTTTCATCTTTGTTTGCCTGACCGCTTTCATCTTTGTTTGCCTTACCGCTTTCATCTTTGTTTGCCTTACCGCTTTCATCTTTGTTTGCCTGACCGCTTTCATCTTTGTTTGCCTTACCGCTTTCATCTTTGTTTGCCTTACCGCTTTCATCTTTGTTTGCCTTACCGCTTTCATCTTTGTTTGCCTTACCGCTTTCATCTTTGTTTGCCTGACCGCTTTCATCTTTGTTTGCCTTACCGCTTTCATCTTTGTTTGCCTTACCGCTTTCATCTTTGTTTGCCTGACCGCTTTCATCTTTGTTTGCCTTACCGCTTTCATCTTTGTTTGCCTGACCGCTTTCATCTTTGTTTGCCTTACCGCTTTCATCTTTGTTTGCCTTACCGCTTTCATCTTTGTTTGCCTTACCGCTTTCATCTTTGTTTGCCTTACCGCTTTCATCTTTGTTTGCCTTACCGCTTTCATCTTTGTTTGCCTTACCGCTTTCATCTTTGTTTGCCTGACCGCTTTCATCTTTGTTTGCCTTACCGCTTTCATCTTTGTTTGCCTGACCGCTTTCATCTTTGTTTGCCTTACCGCTTTCATCTTTGTTTGCCTTACCGCTTTCATCTTTGTTTGCCTTACCGCTTTCATCTTTGTTTGCCTGACCGCTTTCATCTTTGTTTGCCTTACCGCTTTCATCTTTGTTTGCCTGACCGCTTTCATCTTTGTTTGCCTTACCGCTTTCATCTTTGTTTGCCTTACCGCTTTCATCTTTGTTTGCCTGACCGCTTTCATCTTTGTTTGCCTTACCGCTTTCATCTTTGTTTGCCTGACCGCTTTCATCTTTGTTTGCCTTACCGCTTTCATCTTTGTTTGCCTGACCGCTTTCATCTTTGTTTGCCTTACCGCTTTCATCTTTGTTTGCCTTACCGCTTTCATCTTTGTTTGCCTGACCGCTTTCATCTTTGTTTGCCTGACCGCTTTCATCTTTGTTTGCCTTACCGCTTTCATCTTTGTTTGCCTGACCGCTTTCATCTTTGTTTGCCTTACCGCTTTCATCTTTGTTTGCCTTACCGCTTTCATCTTTGTTTGCCTGACCGCTTTCATCTTTGTTTGCCTTACCGCTTTCATCTTTGTTTGCCTGACCGCTTTCATCTTTGTTTGCCTTACCGCTTTCATCTTTGTTTGCCTTACCGCTTTCATCTTTGTTTGCCTGACCGCTTTCATCTTTGTTTGCCTGACCGCTTTCATCTTTGTTTGCCTTACCGCTTTCATCTTTGTTTGCCTTACCGCTTTCATCTTTGTTTGCCTTACCGCTTTCATCTTTGTTTGCCTGACCGCTTTCATCTTTGTTTGCCTTACCGCTTTCATCTTTGTTTGCCTGACCGCTTTCATCTTTGTTTGCCTTACCGCTTTCATCTTTGTTTGCCTGACCGCTTTCATCTTTGTTTGCCTTACCGCTTTCATCTTTGTTTGCCTTACCGCTTTCATCTTTGTTTGCCTGACCGCTTTCATCTTTGTTTGCCTTACCGCTTTCATCTTTGTTTGCCTGACCGCTTTCATCTTTGTTTGCCTTACCGCTTTCATCTTTGTTTGCCTTACCGCTTTCATCTTTGTTTGCCTGACCGCTTTCATCTTTGTTTGCCTTACCGCTTTCATCTTTGTTTGCCTGACCGCTTTCATCTTTGTTTGCCTTACCGCTTTCATCTTTGTTTGCCTTACCGCTTTCATCTTTGTTTGCCTTACCGCTTTCATCTTTGTTTGCCTGACCGCTTTCATCTTTGTTTGCCTTACCGCTTTCATCTTTGTTTGCCTTACCGCTTTCATCTTTGTTTGCCTTACTGCTTTCATCTTTGTTTGCCTGACCGCTTTCATCTTTGTTTGCCTTACCGCTTTCATCTTTGTTTGCCTTACCGCTTTCATCTTTGTTTGCCTGACCGCTTTCATCTTTGTTTGCCTTACCGCTTTCATCTTTGTTTGCCTGACCGCTTTCATCTTTGTTTGCCTTACCGCTTTCATCTTTGTTTGCCTGACCGCTTTCATCTTTGTTTGCCTTACCGCTTTCATCTTTGTTTGCCTTACCGCTTTCATCTTTGTTTGCCTGACCGCTTTCATCTTTGTTTGCCTTACCGCTTTCATCTTTGTTTGCCTGACCGCTTTCATCTTTGTTTGCCTTACCGCTTTCATCTTTGTTTGCCTTACCGCTTTCATCTTTGTTTGCCTGACCGCTTTCATCTTTGTTTGCCTTACCGCTTTCATCTTTGTTTGCCTGACCGCTTTCATCTTTGTTTGCCTTACCGCTTTCATCTTTGTTTGCCTTACCGCTTTCATCTTTGTTTGCCTTACCGCTTTCATCTTTGTTTGCCTGACCGCTTTCATCTTTGTTTGCCTTACCGCTTTCATCTTTGTTTGCCTTACCGCTTTCATCTTTGTTTGCCTTACTGCTTTCATCTTTGTTTGCCTGACCGCTTTCATCTTTGTTTGCCTTACCGCTTTCATCTTTGTTTGCCTTACCGCTTTCATCTGCGCTGCGCGCACCTCCACTACTGCATGCCCTTATTCCCTATCCCACCATGACCGCATGCCCCGATACCCTATCCTTTCCTATGCCCCCATGCCCCCATGCCCCCAGGTGGCGGCGGGCGGCACGCACTCCGTGGTGCTCACGAGGGAGGGCGAGGTGTGGGTGTGGGGGCAGCCCTGGCCGCCCGCTGATGCGTGAGTACAGGAGAGTGTGACTGGCTGTCAGTGAGTGCATGTATCGCATTGGGCTATGACCTGTTACCTGCGACCTGCTACCTGCGACCCCATGCATCCCCCAATCTTCCACCTCCATGTTCCACTCATGGACCTGTCTGCCACCTGGCCTTGCGGTGCGGATGGACGGCCACGTGCTGCCGTGCGGCATGCCGTCGCCTCTCGCCCTCCCCGTCCCCCGGCCTTCTTTCCCCATTCCCATCCCCCATCCCCCTTCCCCCATCCCCCATCCCCTGTCCCCCTTCCCCTATCCCCCTTCCCCTATCCCCCATCCCCCCTTCCCCTTCCCCACCAGGAAGCACGTGTGGGTGCCGGCCAGAGTACCCGGGCTGAAGGGCGTGAGCAGCATAGTGGTGGGCGCGTGTCACAGCGTGGCGCTAAGGGGGGACGGCTGTGTGGTGGCGTGGGGAATTCTGTCGTCTCAGTAGACACCTCTTTGCCCTCCCCATCCCCACATCCCCCATCCCCCCCTCCATCGCCATCCCCATATCCCCCGCCCCCCCTCCTTCCCCAGCAAGCAGGTGTGGGTGCCAGCAAAAGTACCCGGGCTGAAGGGCGTGCGGAGCATAGCGGTGGGCGCGTTCCACAACTTGGCATTAAAGGGGGACGGGCGAGTGGTGGCGTGGGGCAGCAACGAGTATGGGCAGCTGGGCACGGGGGACACGCAGCCGCGCTCGCTGCCTGTGGACCTGCCTCAACTCACCCACGCTGATGTGGTGCGTGCGTGGTGGAGTGAGTAGGCTGGGTGGGTGGGAAGGAGTGGGTGGCCATGGGTGGGTGGTGGCATGCAGTAGCAACGAGTATGGGCAGCTGAGCACGGGGGACACGCAGGTGCGCTCGCTGCCTGTGGAGTTGCCTCAACTCACCCACGCTGATGTGGTGCGTGCTGCTTGCATGCTGTCACGACAGCTGCGCGCAATCTGCTTGCACCCTCACCCTCATTCCTCACCAGCTCCGGGGGGCCCTCAATACCCCGTTCACCACTTCCTGCATGCTGTGCTCCCCCCGTGTCCACCCTCAAGTGCTCAAGTGGTTCTTCAACTCTCACGAATGCTGCAGTTGCAGCAAGGAGAACCCGTAGTGATTGGTTTGGCCCAACACTTGCAGCCGTGCAATGCGGCAGAACCAGAGACATGGATCAATGCGGCAGAACCAGAGACATGGATCAATGCGGCAGAACCAGAGACATGGATCAATGCGGCAGAACCAGAGACATGGATCTTCTGCTGTGGTTCTCTTGCACTAACCCATGCAGGCACCGGCACGCATGTGTGGTTGAGTTCCTGCGGGTATCCTAATTCATCTGCCCTCCTTTAATGCTGCTGCGTGCACGCATACGTCAGCACCTCTTGCAATCAATCACTCGCTTGCCCCGTTCTCTCCCTGCTCCTTGTGCTTCAGCTGTAATTTCTCTCCCCATTCGCTTCTGCCCTGAACCACACATGCATGGCATGGCATGGCGGCGTGGCATGGCATGGCATGGCATGGCATGGCATGGCACGGCATGGCATGGCAGGTGGACATAACAGCAGGGGGGTGGCATTCCATGGCAGTCACTCGCTCCGGACAGGTATAGTCAGATGCAGTGTGTGATGCAGGCAGGCAGGATGACAGTGTGTGATGCAGGTAGGCATATAGTTTTTGGAACAATACAGATTGGGTTCTTGAGCCTACAGCATACTCTTGAGGCTCCAGCATACTCTTGAGGCTACAGCATACTCTTGAGGCTCCAGCATACTCTTGAGGCTACAGCATACTCTTGAGGCTACAGCATACTCTTGAGGCTCCAGCATACTCTTGAGGCTACAGCATACTCTTGAGGCTACAGCATACTCTTGAGGCTTATTACCACTCACCACCACCCCTCACTTATCTCTATCTCCCATACCCGCCATCTCTTATCACCACTCTCTATACAGGTGTGGGCATGGGGAAGAGGGGAGCACGGGCGGATGGGGTTCGGCGAGGACAAGACAATCAAAGCCGTACCAACGGTGGTGACGCTGCTGGCGGGAGAAACAGTGGTGCAGGCCTCGTGTGGTGGCACACACTCCCTCGTTGTCACGCTTGATGGGCGAATGTTCACTGTGAGTCTCTGTTGGTGGGCGAATGTTCACTGTGAGTCTCTGTTGATGGGCGAATGTTCACTGTGAGTCTCTGTTGGTGGGCGAATGTTCACTGTGAGTCTCTGTTGGTGGGCGAATGTTCACTGTGAGTCTCTGTTGATGGGCGAATGTTCACTGTGAGTCTCTGTTGGTGGGCGAATGTTCACTGTGTGAGTCGCTGTTGATGGGCGAATGTTCACTGTGAGTCTCTGTTGGTGGGCGAATGTTCACTGTGTGAGTCTCTGTTGGTGGGCGAATGTTCACTGTGAGTCTCTGTTGGTGGGCGAATGTTCACTGTGTGAGTCGCTGTTGATGGGCGAATGTTCACTGTGAGTCGCTGTTGATGGGCGAATGTTCACTGTGAGTCGCTGTTGATGGGCGAATGTTCACTGTGAGTCAGGCAGGGTGCATTCCTGGGAAGACGCACAAAAGGAGGCGTTCCAAAAACAGTGTACCACTCTGCACCGCATCACACCTATGGATCAAATGTATGCACCGCACCGTATCTCGTCTTTCATGAATGCAAGGTTTTTGTGACGAGTGCCAGGAATGTGTTGATTGGCGAATGTTCAGTGTGAGTCACAGCAGTCTCGGTATTCATTGAGTTTGCCACACTCTATTGTGTAACCTCATCCATACCCATTGCCCTCTCTATCCGAACCTCCCTTCCCAGTTTGGCAGAGTGGACGACGGCAGGCTCGGGCCAGCAGGCTCGGTAACAACAGGCGACCTGGTCAGAGTTCCTCTCCCAGGGGACCCCGATGCTACCTTCCATCCGGATGACCATCCGAACCTGCATAGAAGGCTCGGCAGCATCAGCCGCTCCCTCAGCAACTCTTCTGAGCAGCCAAGAAGCCGATGGCGGGCGGCGTTTGCGGTGTGCGGTGGTCGACATAATTTGGCATTATTGTGTCCGGAGGAGGATTTGAGTGAGGTGAGCTGCCATTTGCCATGGCATAAGGCACAAAAGGAGAGAGAGGGGAAAAAAGCGCAAGAGGGGCAGGTGCAAGGGGCAGGGGGGGCGGAGGCAGCAAGCAAGGCAGGGACAAGTGGATCGGAAGCAGGAGACGGCAGCACACAGCAGGGTGGAAGCAACGGTGATGGAGAGCGTGCAGAGGGTGCTGCTTCCATAGATGGTAATGACACGTAGGTGGATGGAGGAGTTCCTGTAGCTCAGTGCAGTAATCCATACTAGCCTGAATGTGTCACACACACTGCCCTCTATTAATAAGCTTAAAGCCCGAGTACGGCATGGTAATTTTCAAGTTCAAGATTCTTGAACTTGAAGTCGCCAATAACAGGGTTACCCTACTTGTTTTGAGAAAATTCTCGCGACCCCAGGCAATCGTCCTGCGACAACGGAACCCGAGTGCCCAAAACCAGAACTGACGCGATGATCGCCAACCATTTGTACTATTCACCACTCACATAACTTGCTTACCAAGTAGTACTCATAGGCTAGGAGGCTCCAAGGCAAAAACTAGCGCTAGTTGGCAAAAGCGAGTCGTTGATAGGTGTTTTTTTTTGTGCGGAAGGAAATATAAGTCCACCTCAACCATCTTAGTCAGTGCACGCTCTAATCTCTCCCTCACGTCACCGGTCTCGTGTTACAACCCGTACACCCACGGCACTTACGTTAGTAAACGAGATTCGCGTTACTCGAGTCTTGCATTCAAGCTCGCGTCGCACACGCAGGATCTTGTCACACTTGCTGCCATTCAGCCTCGTGTCACGATCGTACCGTTTTAGGCACGGGTCGCTCACGCGAATGCCGTACTGGTTCGCGTAACGCACTCAGCCGTTAGTCGCACATGTTCCTCCTCGTCGGCCGCTCTTGCCCACGTCATACCGCTTTCCTCGTCGCCCGCGCTTTCCCTCATTACCCTCCCCGACCCTCTGGTCGCATATGTTCCCGTAGTTGCCCACGCTCTCCCACGTTAACCACACATCCCCTCGTCGCAATTGCCAGTAGTAAACATACCGCGCTTCAGATCGTCACCCGCGCTCCCCTCATCACCCTCGTCGACCCACACCGATCCTCGCCGCCCTCACCTCCCTTGGTCACCGACATTCCCTCTCGTCGCTCGCGCTTCCCCTCATCACCCGTGCCGACCCTCGCCGCCCTCGCCTCCCCTCGTCGCCCGCGCGTCCCGTCGTCGGGCTTGCCTCCCAGTCACTCGCGCTTCCCCTCGTCATCCGCGTTTCCATCCGCTCTTCCCCTCTCCCCTCATTCCTTCCGAAGGGGTGGGACAGATGGGGAGGAACAGATGGGGAGGAACAGATGGGGAGAAACAGAGGTGGTCGCTTCCGCCACCACAATCGAACAGCGTTTTGATTCCCTCTCTGCTCCCCACCATCCTCCCCCCAGCTCTCTCCCCGGCATCTGCCCCCGTTCCCCCCATCCTCTTCCCTGTTTCCCCGTATCCCTTGCCGTGCTTCCCCCCATCCTATCCCCTCTTACCCCGTATCCCCTGCCCTGCTTCCCCCCATCCCCTTCCCTGCTTCCCCCCATCCCCTTCCCTACTTCCCCCCATCCCCTTCCCTGCTTCCCCTCGTCCCCTCCCCTGCTTTCCCCCATCCCCTTCCCTGCTTTCCCCCATCCCCTTCCCTGCTTCCCCCCATCCCCTTCCCTGCTTCCCCCCATCCCCTGCCCTGCTTCCCCCCATCCCCTTCCCTACTTTCCCCCATCCCCTGCCCTGCTTCCCCCCATCCCCCTCCCTGCTTCCCCCCATCCCCTTCCCTGCTTCCCCCCTTCCCTTTCCCTGCTTCACCCCATCCCCTCCCCTGCTTCCCCCCATCCCGTCCCGTGCTTCCCCCCATCCCCTTCCCTGCTTCCCCCCATCCCCTTCCCTGCTTCCCCCCATCCCCTTCCCTGCTTCCCCCCATCCCCTTCCCTGCTTTCCCCCTTCCCTTTCCCTGCTTCACCCCATCCCCTCTCCTGCTTCCCCCCATCCCGTCCCGTGCTTCCCCCCATCCCCTTCCCTGCTTCCCCCCATCCCCTTCCCTGCTTCCCCCCATCCCCTTCCCTGCTTCCCCTCATCCCCTTCCCTGCTTCCCCTCGTCCCTTCCCCTGCTTCCCCCCATCCCCTTCCCTGCTTCCCCCCATCCCCTTCCCTCCTTCCTCCCCTGCTGCCTCCCATCACTCTCATTCTCCTTCCTCCCGCACTCACACCTCTCAGTCCTCTCGCACTCTCTCTCTCCGTCCTCTCGCACTCGCACTCTCCTCCCCACCACCCTCAGCCCTCCTTCCCCTCACACCCACCCATGTTCCCACCTGCCCTCCCCATCCCTGCCTTTCCCTCCCTGCCCTGCCCTTCCCTTCTCCATCCCTTCTCAAACCTTCCCTTTCATGTCATGCCCTCACCTTCCCCCTCATCTTCCGCCCTCCAGTTACCATGCATGTGCACCCATCACTGTCTCCCCATACCGGTACATGCTTTCATCATGTGCGCTTGCTTGTGTTCCCCTGCAGTTGTTCCCTTGGCACCTCACACCACTTCCCCCATGTTCCATCACACAATTCTTTCTGCCTACTCCACTCTCCAAATTTTCAGTGGTGAAGCAGAGGAGCAAGCTGAGGCGCAGCTAGAGCTAGTCCATGCTTTACGCCGTACCACCACCTGTTTCTTGTGTGTTGCATGCAAGCATGATACATACTCTATTACTGTTGGAGATATCTATTTCAAAAGCGCAATATGTTTCTGCAGTGCAATATATTCTTCCAAGATGCATGGGCAAGAGTGTCAGAAGGGTAGATAGGCATGATTCTACTTTTGATTGTACCCTTCTCAAGGACTTGAAAAAAACATGAGGGATGGGATGATGGGCTTCGGCGAGTTGCAGTGCCAGAAAATCTTCATTGGTGTCACTTCACTACCCAAGGAGAGGGAGGGAATACGAGGGATGGGGAGGGGGAACAAGACTAAAGTCAAACAGGGGAGATAGGGAAGAGGGGGGAGAGGAAAGCAGGGCTGAGAGGGAAAGACATAAGTACCGTAAAAAAAGGGAGGATAGGGAAGAGGGGAGATAGGAAGAGGGGGAGAAGGAAAGTGTGAGATAGGAAGATGAAACGAGGTGAAGAAGAGGGGGAAACGAGGGGAAGCAGGGGGGGAAACGAGGGACAGCAAGGGGGGAAACGAGGGGAAGCAGGGGGGGAAACAAGGGAAAGCAAGGGGGGAAACGAGGGGAAGCAGGGGGGGAAACCAGGGAAAGCAAGGGAGGGAAATGAGGGGCCAGCAGTGGGGAAAATGAGGGGAAGCGGGGGGGGTGGGGGGAGGGAAATGAGGGGAAGCTGGGGGGGAAATAAGGGAAGCAGGAGGGTACAAACAGAGATAGCAGGGAGGGAAATGAGGTGAAGCAGGGAGGGAAATGAGGTGAAGCAGTGAGGGAAATGAGGTGAAGCAGTGAGGGAAATGAGGTGAAGCAGTGAGGGAAATGAGGTGAAGCAGGGAGGGAAATGCGGTGAAGCAGGGAGGGAAATGAGGTGAAGCAGTGAGGGAAATGAGGTGAAGCAGGGAGGGAAATGAGGTGAAGCAGTGAGGGAAATGAGGTGAAGCAGGGAGGGAAATGAGGTGAAGCAGTGAGGGAAATGAGGTGAAGCAGGGAGGGAAATGCGATGAAGCAGGGATGAGGGGGAGAAAGGGTGGGCCATGGGCGTAGAGCATAGGGCGCAGAGCATGGGGCGCAGAGCATAGGGCGCAGAGCATGGGGAACAGAGCATAGGGCGCAGAGCATGGGGCGCAGAGCATAGGGCGCAGACCTTGGGGCGCAGAGCACAGGGCGCAGAGCATGGGGCGCAGAGCATAGGGCGCAGAGCATGGGGCGCAGAGCATGGGGCGCAGAGCATGGGGCGCAGAGCATAGGGCGCAGAGCATTGGGCGCAGAGCATAGGGCGCAGAGCATGGGGCGCAGTGCATAGGGCGCCGAGCATAGGGCGCAGTGCATAGGGCGCAGAGAATAGGGCGCAGAGCGCAGGGCTCATAGAGCAGAGCGCAGGGGGCAGAACGCAGGGGGCGGAGGGGGCAGAGCGCAGAGTGCAGGGGCGCGGAGCACGTGTACCTGTCCTGGCGTGGTGGTGCCTCGTTCTAGCGCCCTCTCCACGCTGCTATTCGAATAGAATAGTGCGCGCGCTGGAAGTTTGTGAGTTGACGCGCTGCTAGACGACCAGTGGCGCGAGCTACGCGTAAACCGGTGAGGGGGATGGTCGTCTCTGTATTTCGCGCGCTGCTACCCGCCCGTGGGCGCCCGGTGGCTGACAGAGTAGAATTGCATAACCCTAAGGGTATGCGTATTGTGGACGCCCCCAGCGTGGCATTGCCCTAAGTAATAGGCACTTTCGAGCCCAATATACGTTCGCAATGCCCCGAAACCGTCGACCTACGTGCTGCCAGAGGCAATCGATGTGCCAGAGGCCATATCGCGCTGTGTCGCGCTCTTCTCAACGCTCCTTCCTGCGATTCAGCATGTACGTTTTCTGGCATGTCACCTTCGTTTGCACGTTTCCTTGTTGTTAGCTCCTGCGGTTATTTCACACGAAGTAGTTAGCTTGATTGATCGTGGTGTTCTTTCTCCTCACTCGTGTTGGTGCTTCCCGTTTTCGTTTTTGCTAGTAGTCGCATTGTGCGTGGACCTTCTCCACTACTTGAACCTGATTGGCTGAAGAACAATCCTTGCGACACTCCTTCCAGTCGCTCCACGGTGCTTGCAAATCCGTCAAAGCTGCACAGTGTCGTTCACCATCGCTTCACGTTTGGCGAGACTCTTTTCCCCCTCGTCAATCGATATTTTTCTCGCTACACTGACTTTGCCGAAATTCTTGTTTTCAAGGTTTCGCCAACACTATTTCAAACCCACATAACTTGATAAATTACCATGCTGACTCCAGGCTTTAATGAATGAATTTGTGGCCCCTTCTGTCAGAACTCCCATTGTCTTTCTTCGTATGACTTTGCATCAACATGAACAAGCACCATATGCAAGTGTAACACACCATTCGGCCTCACATCACATCACAGCAGTACCATCCCACACAGAACAAAGCCAACTGTTCAAACACCTTGCTAGTTTCGTCCGTAAAGGTAACACCTTCTCAATAATTCATCTGGGCAACCACACTCATAGCATCATCCACCACGCACTCCAGGTCGCCATCAGCATTGACGCGCACCACATCCCCTTCACCTTCCCCCACAGCCAGCAGCGCGAGCTGCGAGGGCAGCAGGCAGGGCGGCATGAAGTGGCCCTCTGTGTGGTGGCGCTGGGCCAGCCTGTCTGCCAGCACGAGGGGAGGAACGTCCAGCAGGATGAAGAGCAGGCGAGGTGCGCACGGTGCAGAGTGTTCTGTGCCTGTGCTGCTGGTGTGCTGCGGCTGAGCGAGACGGTTAGCGGGCAGGAAGGGAGCACACGGTGCAGCGGGACATGTGCCTGTGCTGCCACGACCAATGTGGTTGCATGACGCATTGCCCGTTTCTCCCCTTCCACATGCACCTCCCTTGCCACTGCTGCTGCTGCTGTTGCTGCCCTCGCTGGGCTGGCCGCATTGGCTGCTGACTGCTGCAGAAGCAGCAGCACTGGCCCTTGCAGCTGTGGCAGCATGCTCTGCACGCCCCGCACCCATCAACACACTCTCTCTTTCCCCACATGCCTCACAGCCCTGCGCTTCCCTCCCTGCCCCCACATCCCCTGCCCCCACATCCCCTGCCTCTGCGGTCCGCACATCCGCGTCTAACCTGCACCCATCTCCCCACCTCAGCACGTTGCGGTACGTGGGCGTGAGGGCGGAGCACGCCAGCACCAGCGGGCCACGGGTCGGGGGAGAGGGATGGGGCGGGGGAGGAGAGGGGGAGCGTGGCGGGGAGGAGCATGATAAAGGGGACAGCGCGAATGAATCAGCAGGGGCTTGACACGTGTGCTGTGGGGGAGCATGTGTCTGGGATCCCCGGTGTGTAGAGGGAGGAGGGAGGGGGAACGCGTGCAAGGGGCAGAGCAGGGCGTGCAGGGAGAGCAGCCATGGCAGGCGGTCGGCGTCGCACAGGGGAGTACCTGCCGCCATCTTGGCTGCCAAGGGGGGAGGAGGAACGGGGCGAGGGGAGGGGTGGCAGAGCGGTTAGGTGAGGTGACAGGCGGTCGGCGTCAGACAGGGGAGTGCCTGCTGGCATCTTGGCTGGCGAGAGGGAAATGCGGGGAGGGGAGAGCGGGGAAATGAAGGGAGGGAGAGCGGGGAAATGCAGGGAAGGGAGAGCGGGGAAATGAAGGGAGGGGAGAGCGGGGAAATGAGGGGGCAGGAAGAAAGGGCTTGGGTTGGTATGGAGAGCGCCAGTGGCACGAGGCAGAGCGGGTGCCTGAACCGTGAGGGGTGGTCAGAGGCAGTGGGAATGACACAGGACGGTACAGTCAGCCACTTTGGGTGATGTACCCAGTCCTCAAAATGGCTCACTTTGGGTTGGAGGTGGGACAGGGAACGGGCATTCTGTGCTGGTTGATGGCGCAGGGAGATTTTGAGAATTCTCAAAAACTCCCTGGTTGATGGCTAGTGCTAGTGCACTGGAATGAGCCGTGCGACGGGGGTGCAGTGAGGTATGTGAGAGGGAGACTGGAGCTCCAGTAGTGAGATGGTGCAGAGACATGGAGGGTGCAGGTGGGAGGGAAGAGAAGGATAGGGAACAATACGGCGGACGCCACTCCGTCCATCCCACCCCATCCGATCTCACTCACCCCACAGCACCCTGTCCTACCCTATCCCAACCAATCCCACCCCATCCCACCCCACCATCTCAACCACCTTTATTCTCCCGCGAGTGGAAGTCATCAGCGTCGTGAAACTCCCACCCCAGCCTCTCCGCCACCCGTCTCCCCACACTCCTGACCACAGCGACCAATCAGCATGGGACGAAATAAAAAATTAATACAGAAACGTAAGAGATATCATACACTCAGCAGGTGTTTACTCCAGTTCCAAACCGGTCTCTCCGCAACCTGGCAGCCCGTGGCCGTGAGGAGACAACTAAAATAGGCGTGGCGTTGGGATGGAGGAGAAAGAGAAGCTTCGCTGAGTTCACGTGCAACCAAGGTGCCTCGCGTGCAACCAAGGTGTCTCGCGTCCATCACATCACTACGCTGCGCGAAGCATCCGCGACAAAACATGCGCGACAAACACGCGCGACAAACAGTTGCGAAAAACACGCGCGACGAAAGCACGCGCGACGAAGGAGCGACGCTACCTCACGTTTTCCCGCAGCCGCTGGGACCGATGACGACGACTGCGGACAGGGAGGGTAAGCAATTCGACTCCGCCATGACAAGCTTGGCTTGGGTCAGGTGATGGGGCGGGTGGCGTGTATTCGAGGAAAAATGGCGGAAGAGATTGAGCGAAAGTGGTTGATTGGCTCTTCAAACGGCCCTTGGAAACTATGATGAACGCGATTTGCGTTGTCTGTGATGATGACCAGGAGTGGTGGTGTCACTCGACTTCTCATAATCGTTCTGTACCGCTTTTCACAAAGATTCGCCTGTTGTAACCGAACCGAACCCATTTGATCCGATCCCGATATTGGAAGTTGGGATCCACCACACCGCGAAGAAGCCACATCAGAAACCTGATTCCGAGCTTCCACGTCACAACATATGCCACGTATTGCACGGTTCCTCGGAACAGATCACGGACCGTGTGCCACCTAATCCCACAGAAAAGAACATCCACTCACGGCTGCTGCCTAATAATTCTCACGTAAGAACCGCCGCCATTCGCGTCCACTACGTTAGACGGCAGCGCCCATTGGGTACCGCATTACGCTACAGCAAGGCGACGCGTTCCCACTTCCTCCTCACTCCACCCTCTCGCCGCAGCGCCCTAGTCCCATCAGACTCCCAGCCGAGTGAAGCCCAGGGCTTGCCCGCTGTGTTGTAGTAGCACTCGCAGAATACCATAAATTCTCCTATCGGGCGATGGGACTCGCATCATACCACAACTCATCAGTACCACCAGCGGCGTTCCACGACGACCACCATGTCCGTCATAAAGTCCGCAAGCAGCCCAAGGCCGCCCGGCAAGCTCGAGCTGGCGGACGACGCGACGCTCAAGGCGCACGTCACGGCGGCCTTCGATGAGGTCGACGCCCACAAGAGCGGCAAAGTGAGCCGCGCCGAGCTACGCCCGGCGTTTCTGCGCTTGGCGCGGCTGGCGGGGCTGCCGGAGCTGGGCGGTAGTTCGGAGTTGGACCGCGCGGTGGACGAAGCGTTCGAGACGGGCGAAGGCGACGAGACGGGCGAGCTGAGCAAGGACCACTTTGTCGCCTTGTCGCTGGGGTTGCTCAATGTCGTCAAGATCGTCGCGGCGTACGCAGGTCAGACTGCTGCTGCTCATGCGTCGCATATGCTGCTTCCGATGCGCGGCATCGTCTCAACGCCACTCCGTTCCTTGTGCGCGCCGCCGCCGCGCGTCTCCATCCTCCACTCCTCCGCGTCCAAGCGTGGCTCGGCCGGTCATGGGCCCGTTTGCAATGCCACGCGGATTGCCCCACCCCCACCTCCTCCCCCTTCTCCCCTCCTCCTTCTCCCCTCCTCCCCCACGCAATCCCCCAGCGGCGCCGCTGCTGTTGCAGGTGTTCACCTGCGGGGCGATGCGCCACTCGCCACCTAGCGCGGAGCAGCGAGCGGAGGCGGCGCTGGCGGAGGCGGCGTTCAAGCAGATGGACAAGGGCGGCCGCGGCAAGCTGTCCAAGCGGGACTTGCTGCCCGTGCTCGCCACGCTCGGCATCCAAGGCTCGCCTCCCCAAGGTCTGACGCCGCCCACACTGCCCCTTGCGTTGCCACCGCGCGTCCTGCGCGCATATGCTGCGCTTCTATGCCTCTAATCCCCCAACTCACCTCGCACTGCTCCCATCACCTCGCACTGCTCCCATCACCTCGCACCTGCCAGTGGCGGAGGCGACGCTGGCGGCGCTGCTGGAGAAGTACGTGGGGGGAGCGGAGGAGATGGGGCGGCGGCAGTTCAACGAGCTCTTCGTGCAGCTCGTGACGGGCATGGCGAATTTACTCGACTCGGGGGAGCAGCCTGCTTTCGCTCGGGAGGCGTCGATCGCGCTCAGCGCGTGCAGCCTTAGAAAGGTTGCTCTCACGCGCACACAATCCCCCCCTCCACCAATTCTCCGCACTCGCATGATGCTTCCCGCAGGGCTCCTCGTATGCCTTCCTCGCCAGTTCCGCCGTTCCCCAGTTCCCCCTCACTCCCACCCCCATTGCCCACCCCTACTCCTTGCCGCACGTGCTTGCCCTCCCACCTCCTCGCCCCTCGCCAGATCCTCGCGAGCAACGAGCCTCTCCAGAAGATGGCCAGCGAGACCTTTGCTGACTTGGACGTCAGCAATGCCGGCCAGCTGTCACGCGCTGACCTCATGAGCGGGCTGCGGCAGTGGCTCACGGTGTGGCTGACGCCGCAGCAGGTGGACTCGCTGCTCTCCCACCACTTCCCCGCAGCCGACGTTGACAGCAGCGACTCCGTGGACCGCGGCAAGTTCTCCACGCTGTTCCCCGCGCTGTTGGCGTCCCTCATAGAGCAGCTGGAGCAGACCCCCTTGGTGCTCAAGGCGTCCGTCCTCAAGGATCTGCCAGTGGGCGGCAATGTTAGAGGGTCCTAGGACAGCAAGGGCATCCGCGGAGTTTACTCGGTGGAGTGACTAACGACCTAGTATCTCGGCACCGAATGCCGTGACGGTCACGCATCGGTGGTGCGTGACTACTAGCAGCAACGACAGATTCGGTGCTAGGGGTGAAGAGTCATGTGGTGCTGCCTGGCACGCCTCTCCCTAGCTGTGTTGGGTGGAGTGGGGTGCACAGTAGTGACTTGGGTCTAGGAATTCGGTGGGGTACACCCGCAGCAGCGCCCACAACCATCCTCTGCTACCAGGGCCCTCGTTATCATACCAATTTGATCTGTTCGTCTATATTTCAGACTTAACGAAACACCCTGGATATAACCGCAGGCCTATTAAAAGCGCATGCGCTTCTATCTGGAGCAATGCGCTTATGGCTGATCCTCAATTATAAGAGCACCCCCTTTAAAAACGTGATTTATTATAAGCGCATGTTAGTTTTCAATTTGAAAAACTGTCAAATTACTGTAACGAGGCTCGCTTTAGCAAGCTGATGACTTGAAAATCGTATTTCCTTCGCATTCAAACCCTGCAGGGTGCGCGTCCAGTCAGCATGTGCTGTCAGAAGCGCCTAGTGACTCATTTTGAGTGTATGTGCTGGCAGGGAATCTTTCCCTGCCATCTAGCGAGAGATTTTTACCCTGTTTCAAATCGACTCGATTGGGTGCGCAATGACGCGAACTACATTCTTGTGCTAGTAATTTAAAATTGTATATCTGTTATTTTATAAGCGCATGCGCTGATATTTTTTACTCAATTATAAGCGCACCCCCCTGACAAATCATGTTTTATTATAAGCGCAGGTGCGCTTTTATCCGGGGTAATACAGTACCGTACTTTTTTTTGTCATACCATGATTTCATAAAACCGAAATACAAAATAATGAACCCTGTCCCATCTTGAAAGTGTGCTGCTGTTATGGGTGCAATGAATCGAGGTAGCGAGTGTCAAATTATATGCATGTTATATATGTGTAGGCTGTAGTGGGGTAGCCAATATGGGGTACAACCCCATTAGGGTTTCATATTTGTACCAAACCCTGATCTAGTCAATCCATTCCTGCTACTACATTCTAACATGGTTTCAGAGCACTAGGTCCGTAGGACCGTCTTTTTTTTTTTTTCCGGGCCCACCTACCGTTGCGATTACCGCGCTACCCCACGTGTTGTCCTGCGCGCGCCTTCGCCTGCCTTGCCTTGTGACGTGCTGCGCTGCGCGCGCCGTCCTGCAGCCCTCGTGCTGCCTACTGTTGCCCTAGCTACGCGCGCACCGCCCTGCAAGCCCATAAGGCCAGCGTGCCACCCCTGCAGGCCCGAAAGGCCAGCGCGCCGCCCCTGCAGGCCCGTAAGGCCCGCGCGCTGCCCATGCAGGCCCGTAAGGCCCGCGCGCCGCCCCTGCAGGCCCGTCAGGCCCGCGAGCCGCCCCTGCAGGCCCGTCAGGCCAGAGCGCCGCCCCGCCCTGCAGCCGATGCGGCCCCGCCAGGCCGCTGTCGCGGCCCCGCCCTGCCGCTGACGCGGCCCCACCCTGCCGCGATCGCGGCCCCGCCCTGCCGCCGACGCGGCCCCGCCGGGTCGCTGTACCGGCCCCGCCGGGTCGCTGTACCGGCCCCACCCTGTCGCTGATGCGGCCCCGCCCTGCCGCTGTCGCGGCCCCGCCCTGCCGCCGACGCGGCCCCGCCCTCCCACTGTCGCGGCCCCGCCCTGCCGCTGACGCGGCCCCGCCAGGTCGCTGTCACGGCCCCGCCCTGCCGCTGACGCGGCCCCGCCCTGCCGTTGACGCGGCCCCGCCCTGCCGCCGACGCGGCCCCGCCCTGCCACTGTCGCGGCCCCGCCCTGCCGCCGACGCGACCCCGCCTGGCCCCGCCCTGCCGCCGACACGGCCCCGCCCTGCAGCAGCTGTCGCGGCCCTGCCCTGCCGCTGTCGTGGCCCCAGCCCTGCAGCCGACGCAACCCTACTCTGCAGCCGCTGTTGCGGCCCCGCCGTCGCCGCCGTCGTCCGCCTACCCTGCCGCCGCCCGCCGAGCGCCGGCCCTGCTCGCCCGGCGAGCGCCTGCCCTTCCCGCCACTGGTGAGCACCTGCCCTACCAGCGCTTCCCGCGCGCCTTCATTGTTAGCGCGCTGCCGCGCCATCTGCCTGCCTGCCTGCCCTGCCCGCGCTACTACTGCTGCTACTGCTGCTACTTCGGTTACTGCTGCTAGGCTGCTGCTGCTG